GGCATCTTGTAGTGCTTCGAAGCGCTGGTGTTGCAATCGTTGTCGGGCGGGCGGTGTAGCTGCCTAAGTTTGGTCTGCAAGGTGCCGAGCTGCTCGCTGATGGTGGCTGGTGCGGCGAAGGTGCTAATGTAGCCGAGCATTGCAACTACATGGTCAACTCGTTCCTCCAATTGGCGGTTTGAGGGTGCACTGCTGGACTCGCCAGCATCTGGTCTTGGTGCGGCTTGCTCCAAGTCCTGTACACGGGAATGAAGTGCCCGTGTAGCATCCTCTTGCAGATCCTTGTGGTCCTGCACTGCTCCATCTGCTGACATGGCACTGCTGACATGGCACTGCCGCTGACGTGGCACTGCTGCTGTCGTGGCACTGCTGTAGTGGCACTGCTGTAGTGGCACTGCTGTAGTGGCACTGCTGTAGTGGCACTGCTGCTGACATGGCACTGCTGACGTGGCGCTTACCAAACCGGGGATGCAGACAAAGGGCTGGGTCGGAGGGAAACGCAGAAAGGTAACCAACCAAACTGTACTTCCTCCCGGTCCTAATCAACAGACTAAAATAAAAATAAAATATAAAAGAACTTTAAAGAAGAGGATCACCCCCTCCTTTTTTTTTTTTTTTTTTGTATATCTGTCGACCTGCTATGAGTGAGGCATTTCAGAGGAGTACTATGAGCGAGATTTAGGCAAGGTTCCGCAAAGTTTCGGCTTTCAAAAAAATTGCGATCTTGAAAGAAAGAAAGAAAAATGTGTGAAATAGACTGGAGGTTCCACTTTCAGAGAAGAATAGATCCAATCCGAGAATCTGACAACCTTCCTAGTTCACCTACTCTGCCCAGAGTGAAACAAAAAACGAAATGCTAATATCCGAAGTTGCGGAAAGGAGAGAGAAAAACATTTCCAAAGATTTGACGAAGTCCTACTTGATTTACTAATAAACAATCAATCAATCAATCAATCAATCAATCAATCAATCAGTAGATCAAGCAAGCTGGCCACTTGATTGGGCTGATCCTCTGATTGAGAGGTCTGCTCTGATACCAAACTGTCGCATACCATAACAGTACAGACCAGAACAAGAACCGACCTCTCTCACATAGTACAAGATAGCGCAGCGTAAGGCTAAGATACCGATGATCAACCCAATCAATGTCACAATGCAGACCCAACATACATCATCATCATTGCAAGGTGTGAAGGGCCTGGCGCTACACACAGGAAGAATGCGCCAGGTCCAGACCATACACAGACGAAGACGAGGGGATCAGACGAAGAAGAGGGGGGAGATGGGAATGTCGTCACCACCAAGGCTTCGGCACAGGTCCCAAATAGTCCCTCGTCAAATGTCTCAATCCCAATGTCGAGTCTGGATCCAAATGTTGTCAAGTCCCAAAGTCACCAATCTCTCTCTCTCTCTCATAATCCGCAGATACTGAGAAGTCAGGTAGCGAGAGGGTGAGGGAGAGATGGTGGACTTAGAAGAGGAAGAAGAACTCTCTCTCTCTCTCTCTCTCTCTCTCTCTCTCTCTCTCTCTCTCT